TGTTGCTTTCCAATTTACAATTATGTTATTACAGTAACAAACTGATCATTCAATAAGGAACAATGTGACAAAGTCAGTTTTCTGTTCCAGTGCACCATGCAGTCAATCTACAACAGCCCGGAATGTCTGACCCAGTAAATAGACAATGAAAACCAAATTAAGAAAATGTGCACACAATAAAAGTTACATGGTAATTTGAAAAGCCAAGAAACTGAAAAGGGCAGGGTGGCTTCAATTCTCAGTCCTCCCAAGCTGTATCGTGAAGGAAAAGCTTTCCCTGATGAGCAGCACAAACTCAGCCTCAGTGATTCCCAAATTTGGGTAATCAAACTGTTCTTTGACTGCAACTCCCAGAAACCCCGGCCAGCACAGCTAGTGGCGAAGGTTTCTGGGAGTTGCAGTCCAAGAACACTTGTGTTGCACAAGGTTGCGAACAACTGCTCTGCATGCTAAGATTGCTGAATGTTGACGTGTTTTACAGAACAAAGGCTCTGACAGTCAGTTAGAGGCAGGATGGTGACAAGCAGGACTCCTGGCAGCATCCTGGCACCATAGACAGCGCACAAAACAGCGCTGCAGTATCACTCCAGCTGTCCTGGAGGTAGCTGGATGGGTACTTTTTAAAGCATAATGAAAACGAAGTGCTTTGAACATCTTTTGCATAAGGTCAAGAAAAAGAATGTAACAATTCCACCAGACAGTTCCTTTGCATGCAACTTGAGCAACTGTTGTCAACTTTGGTGATGCATTCCTACATCTGATGTGTGAGAGGGAGCAAAAGTGCTACAGCTCACATACTGTAGAATGGCACTTTTGAGTTACTGCCGCTCCTTTGAATTATCTGGTGTAACATAAGCTGTGCAGATACACAGGCCTTAACACTGCCTAGCTTAGTACTGTTTATTTCAGCCTTCTGCCAACTACTGCTGTCAGAGGCAGTGGTCTAAAAACCTATAATCCACAGCCACTAGGGCCCCATTTACTCTGTAAATTGTTTTCTAAGGTCTCAAGGAAAATTCTTTCCTAGCACTGCTCAAATCTTCTAACTAGAGATGCAGCCTGGTAACTTCTCCTAGCAGAGCATGTGATCTCTTGCTGCTGCGGCTACTGAGCTATGGCCTCTCCCGAATACTTAAGGGGCTGCTGTTAGGAGATTAATGGTCCATCTAACACTGTAGTCTTTATGCTGGCTGGCTGCAGCTTTCCAGGATCTCAAAGACAACTTTCCCAGCCCTACTGTTTGAGAGTTATAGGTCAGCTTGGAAACAGACTGTTCTTCAGGAGACAAAGCCATCAAGCCTGTCTACAACTTTGCTTGTAGTAAATTTAGACTGTGACTACATGGGGGTGGGGGTGAGTGGGTGGGAAGGAGTGATATGTGTTCCAGAGATGCAAGAGACAAACCATTTGAAGAGCAAAATGACCACCTTCCATTTGAAACCAAGCCACCTGTGCTTGTTTTTGTTTATTAGCAGCATGTCCTCCTCCAGCAAGCTGTCATGCTAGCAAATGGCAGCACCTGTTTGTCACTATTTTTCACCTCCGTGAGATCTCAGCTTTCCTCCCTCATAAATATTAATGGGTGACCTCAACACGACATTTTGCATTAATGAAAGATGCCCTTTCAGGAGTTCTCATCCTCACGTCTGGACTTAGCCGCTCTGGCTGAATTCCTGTGAATGCAATATTGCCTTCATGTATCAGATTCCTGGGACATACCCTGCTGTCTTCCTAGTTGACTCTGTAACTGGCCTAGTCTGTGCAAATTTAGATTTGACAGTTTGTTTTGCTGTAGTGCGTTCATATGAAGAACGGCTAAGGGTATTAGGAGTTGCTCTTCAGAAATATAAGGGAGACTTTAATTCAACTGACTTTTTCTTCTTCTTAGCTGATTAAGTTACATGTTATGGTTAATTTTAACCAGAGATTGGAAATTTACTCTTTTTTTGGTAGTAATTCTGGCCATGCCACCTGGCAGACTGAGAGAGCTCCTGCTCAGAAGAATAACTTTTCAAGCTCTGGTTCTGACCTGTAGTTAAAAACATTAGCATGTGAGTGCTTAATTAGTTTGCTGTACTATGTTAATTTTATGTAATAGTGTAATGATTTCCAAGCATATAACTTTTAATATTATACTTTATACAGTGTTTCTGAGCCATGTTAGGTGGCCTAATTATTGATAGTAATCTTAATTTACTAGTTGCAAATTATTATTATTTTTAAATGCCTTGGAGCACCCTGCTGGCCAACCTGTGATACTGCACTTCCATTCATGGGTTTTAACGTGAAAGGCAAAGCTGGGAGGGGGGGGGAGGGCTAGGGTGAGCGGTGGAACCCTGCCTGGGATTTGTCAGAAGTGAAGGGCATTTAGCTGATTAAATTGCCCAAGTGAATTAACTGAGCCAAGGAGTGTTCTGCACTACTTGGCTCCGGCTGGAGCAAAATTCAACTAACTTTCCAGTCTTGGACAGTTATAACTTTAAAAAACTGAACCTGTAAATCAAAATATTTGGGAATGGCCATCCCTCAGTGATAGAGTACATTTGTCTGTATGACCTCCCAGGTGCAATACTTCGCATCTGCAGGTAGGACTAGGGGAAAAAAAATCTAGTTGTTACATTGTTAATCTGGCCAGAATCCCTGGAATGGCACTGCCAGTTAGTGTTGACAACTTTTCACTCAGTAAACCTTCTATTCTTTCTAGACTAATGAAGTCGCATATATTTTATTTACTTAAAGATTTATTCAATGTTTAAATTGTATATTTACTGCATAAATTTATCTGGAATTTATACAATTCCAGACAGTTATACAAGCTGGCCAACAGTGGATTATCAGAAATACTGTACGGCCATTCAGAGCATCAAACAATAAATAACAATAACAGGCAACAATGTAAGCCAAGCAACGCAAGTATTAAAAACTAGTAGAAAAGTACAGTTATTTTACCAAATGAAAATAGCCGCCCCGAGTAGACATGGTCTAGAGAGGTGGGGTATAAATTTAACAAACAAACAAACAAACAAACAAACAGGTTCCAGAGGTGTACATAATAGTTCCCAGAAACATCTGTCTAAGGAAGATGTTCCATAGTCATGCCACCACAACTAGCAATGTGATATGTACATTAATGAAACTGTAGGCAAAAGGCATCCAAAGGCTTTTCTTATTTTATAACATGGCTAACACTAAAATGTTATCCACTATAAAAGTGATCAGAATGCCATACAATAAAACTGTAATAAAACTAGTGACAGTGAAAGTAAACCCACACAAGTTTAGTTCCACAAGTTCAGTTGTATAGCCAGTTTGTAATTCCAAACTACAAAAGCAGGAGTGTAGGCATGATTTTGAAGTAGCTCTGGAACTGACATGCCTGGCTAATTTAAGAAAGAAAGAAAGAAAGAAATCCAAGGAAAGGAAACTAAAGTTTTGAATATGTTGTACTTATATCAAAATTTAATTGGTTTGGCAATATGAGAATCTACACAGGAATTTAAAATAAGAAATACAGTATTTTATGCTCACAGCAGTTAAGGACAGAACTGTCATTCCTTCAGTCATCTATTTACATACAAACATTTGTCCACATGCCCTTCCATGTCCTCATCCTATTTATGAATGTTGGAGCCACCCACTAAGAAAGCAGCTCACCACCATTGCAGGGGGAATAGTCTTTCCTCCCTTGGGTGTTTTCTGAGCTGATATCATACAATCTGTGTACTTTTTTTTAAGCCAATCGTTAAGGGAACATCATGCTTTCGGCATCAGGGGCAATTACATTTCTATCATGTGCAGTATGCAATGCAGTTGTTGTTAGAAGCAAAAGCTGCATGAGAGAGGCTGAGTAATTTTGACGCGAATGGATTCTGCCTGGGTGGGAAACTAAATCACCCAATCACTAGAGTCCAAGCAACTCTTCAGTCATCTTGTTCTCCGCCTCCACTAATAAATATTCTTACACAAATCTTCTACCCGTTTTTCCACGCAAAACCCAAAGGAAATATCTCTAAACACACACACAAGTAAAAAGAAAGTAGAACAAGACAAATACCCATGGTACATTAAAAACTGTTAACTTTTAATGAGAGCTTTTGTGGAGAAATCCACTTCTTCAGACATTGGAGTGAAATACAGTAAAATGCAGACTTTGTAAGCAAAACATTGAAGCCAGCTTTAATGTTTTACTTGTAAACTCTGTGTTTTACTATATATGCTTGCACAGACTAACATGGCTACCTCTTCTAAAACCACTGGTTTTCAGGCACCCTGTATTTTCTCAATGAGAGAGTCTGAAGGGTCAAATATCAGCAGTAAAGCAAATGCTTTACATGCTGAATTTCTTTGATTCAATCTCCAGCATCCAGTTTAAAAAAGGAACCTAGACAGCAGGGATGGAAAACACTCTCTACAAAGACTTTAGAATGCTACTGCCAGTCAGAGTGGTCAATACTGGGCAAATGAGCCATACAGACATAATGTAGGGACTTCATGGCCATGGTTCACTTTTGATTCACTTACTTCTGAACATAAGCAAATATCTCTTAAAAACAAAGAAATACACAAACAGCAAGGAAAGCTTATTGGGACAAACTAATCAGGAATTCCTGGTTGTCTGTAATTCATTTGAAATACAGTAATGATCTTCTAAGCTTTTAATTTCATATAGACATAGCTTCTGTGGACAGCTTCAAAATTTCTCGTCTGTACTCCATCAGAGAGATTGTCACTTGGTTTTCAAATCCTTCAGCTTGCTTTACTTGTTATAGAGAACTGTTTAGACCAGGGATCTCCAAAGTGCGGCCCAGAGGCAACATCTGGCCTGCCTGGCCTTTTTATCTAGCCCATGTGTGAGCATGTGCATGTGTGCAGGAGTGCATGCATGCATGCAGTTGGGTGGGCAGGAGTGTGTGCATTCCTTCGGCCCTTGAAAATATTGCAAATATATTATGTGGCCCTCCTTTCTTTCTCTTTTTCTTTCTTCCTACCTTCTGTCCATCCATCCATCCTTTCTTTCTTTCTTTCTTTGGAGACCCCTGGTTTAGAACATTGTAGAGATTGCTGTCCACCATATGTTTACTCCCTGCTCCCCAGCTATTATAGCTTATTGTATCTGACAATAAACTTCCCAGTCTTAATATTAGGTTTTGTTTTTTTTTTGCTTTCTGGAAAATTACAATACAGATGGCTCCAAAATGACATCTGTACTTCTGTGGAAGATGACTTTTTCAAATTGGCATCCTCTACTTTTTCTTCTTCAGCACACTTAGTGTTTCCTACTATAGAAGAAAATCTTGGGTGATACTCTTCTAGCCTTTCCTCCCTAAAACTGGTAAAATGTGTTCACTAAGTTGTTGTTGTTGTTGTTGTTATAGATAATAAGTCAAATATTACTTTGACTTGATGTCTAAACATTTAGTGTTCTACTTAAAACAAGTAGCAAATCCATCTTTTCCTTAGCCGCAGTCACAATGCCACAAGTACTAAAGTTCCAGTGGCTGGCCAAGTACTAGGAGAACCTAATGTAATCAATGATGCAGCTGTGGTGGTAGGATTCTTGAAGCCTGTCTCTCTCTGTTGATCACCCTCCAAGTCGCCTTTGGCCCCCATTCCTTGTCTCCATATGACTTTTAATATAGGCTAAGATTCTCCAGAAGAGTTGTATGGGAGAGGAAGCTGGGGATGATATTCAGGCCCCTATGAAACAGCTGATTGGTGGGGAGTTTTGCCTATGTTGACTTAAGGGTTCTTCCCTTTCAACATGGCACATAACTTGGCTTCTTCCACTGTTGCTTTCCAGGATTCTGCATTTGCTCTCCTCCCCCCCCCAATAAATGAATTTATTTTGTTTCAAAGCACATGAGATACAATACTAAGAATGATAATAATTTTTAAAAATGGATTGCTCGCATCTCTGACATTATGCCCCAGAACAGTCTTCCCCAGCATTGTCTTCCAGCGTGTGAGACTACAATTCTCATATCTCAGAGACATGATAGCTGTAGTCCACCCAAGCTAGAAGGCACCAGACTGGGGAAGAGTATCACCCTGTGCAGTCTGTTAGCCTGCTAGTTTTCCAACTGTTCATATTTTGCTTTTTGAGAAGTCCAAATGTTTGTTTTCATTCCATTATTGTGTTTGAAGCCAGAGGATATGTAAGAAAAGAAAGAGAGAAAGAAAAACTTTTCTGCTTGGATTACTATGGTTTCCGTAGCAATGCACAGCCCCTTTTCCATGTGAGGATGGGGAGGATCGCACTTGAACCGTATTGATAGACCCTCTTCTACGTTCCTGCAGAAAGGGAGCCTCCGGTTGCTTATGGGACCTAGTGAAAAACAGCAGTAATATAACTCCATCGAACTGGAAGTCAAGTAAAGAATTGCCGATCTGTATATTCCCATTTTACAGATGACGGAGCAGAGGCCAAAACAACTGTTTATGTTCAGACTCTCCAGGCCCACAAGTGGAAACGAAAACTTGATTGCCGCAGCTCCAAACATAAAAAAAGATTCTCTGTATAGCCCTCTCGCTCCCCCTCCCCACCCCATGTATTTTTCTCTCGGCTTCAGTGAGCTGCAAGGCTGGGTAGGCGTGAATATACTCTGAAGCGGCGCTCTCCCTCTGCGCTTTGGCGGAGAGCCCGAACAAGGAGGCCGCCGGAGTCCTGCCTATCTCCCCCCCCCCTCCCAACACACTGCAGAACTTGGCGCGGGGGGTGGTGGAGGAGACAGGCTCCGGCAGGCGAAGGGGCTGGTTTATTGTGGAAGCTGCCGCTGGTGGCACGGAGGAGACCCACCTCCAGGGAGGGAGGAAGGGAGATGGCGCTGGCGAGTTCGCAGCCAAACTTTGCACAAGCGGCTCCTACTCCTCCACCCGCTCGAAGTTAGCTCTGGAGCGAGGCACCGCGACTGGCTACTGTCTCCAGCCCTCGCCCGCAGGAGCGCCCTACCTCGCCAAAAAAGCTAACCCTTTCTCTCTCTCCCTCTCCTAGTCCCTTCCCACCCACTCCCAAAGTGACGGCGGCGGCGGCGGCGGCGGCCGCAGCAGCAGCAAGTCTGCAGATGGGAACCAACTAATCGCAGCCAACTCTGGCAGACCTCTCTCTCTCTCTCTCTCTCCCTCCCCGAGAGCGTGTCCGGCCACCCGGCGCCTGCAGGATGAGCGAGCAGCCCTGGGGAGCCTCCCGCAGCCGTCGCCACCGCACAGGCGGCGACTACCCGAGGGGAAAATGAGCGATTATCCGGAGAAAGAGGCGCCGATCTCCCGCAAGCGGCGGCTGATGGCCGCGATTGCGTCCGGGGAAGAGTGTACAGGAGCAGCGGCAGGAGCCGGGAGCAGCAGCAGCTGCTGTACTGCCGAGTCCCTGGCTGCGGGCGCCGCTTCTGTCTCCCTTTCCTCCTCCTCCTCCTCGGTCTTGGCGCTTTGCTGCTTCATCTGCGGCGGCGGGATCAGCCGGGGCAAGGAGCTCAAGCTGCAGGTGAAGTATTCCCGCGACAACCAGCCGTTCTTCCCTTTTCTGCAGCACCAGGAGCCGGCGCCCGGGGCGCAAGAGGTAACCCCGGAGGGCTGCGCTTTGGTGTGCGCCGTGTGTCGTTGCTTCCTGGCCGAGCAGTGGGACTCCTTCGAGCGGACGCGGACGCCGGTGGAGAAGCGCATGTATTGGCTCAAGCGGCCCTACCAGTGCGACGGGCCGGCGGCGGCGGGGGGGCCCGGTGGGCTGCGCAGGGGGCCCCAAGAGTGGAATCTCTCTTACGCTCTGGGCGCCGACGACGAGCGGCGTCCGAGTAGCAGCAGCGGCCGGAGTCAGCCCCCAGAGGACGAGGACGAGGAGGGAGAGGCGGGAGGCGGCGCCGGTGGGGAAGACACAGACCTTTCCTCCCTCTCCGACGCCGAGAACCTCTCGGACAGCGACCTGCGCCCCCCGAGCCGGGACAGCGGCCCCAAAGTCGATCCCGGCTACTGCCGTGTCAGAGAGCGCCCGGTGCTGAGCGCGCACATGGGGAGCCGCGAGAGCTACCGCGACTGGAATCAGCCGCCGCCGCCGCCGCCTCCGCCACCCTCGGAGAAGGCGGCCATTCCCTTGCACCCAGGGAACGGGCTGTCACTGACAGAGAAGCCGAGGAAGAAGAGGCAGCGACCAGCGCGACTCTGGGGCACCGATGCGCCTGTTTGGAAAGCTACGCATGGCGCGCCAATAGGGAGCAGCGCGAAGGCGCGGCCTGGGATCTCCCCTGAACGCGGAAGAAGCGATCGCTCCGCAGGCAAGCATCCCCCGGAGGAGAGTGCCCTAGAGCCTCCCAGTTACTGTTCGTCGGAGGAGAGCGAGATCAATATCACCAGCGATGAAGAGCAGAAGGAGAATGCGAGCGCCCTCCCAGCGCCCAGGCCTCCTTGGGGGGCAACGTCATCGTCGTCGGGGGAATCAGTGTGTTGCTACGTTTGCGGCTCCCTGTTGACAGCGACTTCCCAGCATCGGATCCATGTGCAGAAGCAAGAGAAGGCTTCGAAGGCGCCCTTCTTCCCCTTTCTGTGGTTGCACAGTCCGCCCCCGGGGGCCCTGCCCATCAGTCCCGCGGGGAGCACCGTGGTGTGTTCCTGTTGTTTCGCTTCGCTCATGCAACAGTGGCAAAGCTTCGAGCTGGCCAATGTGCCCGTCCTGCAGAGGCTCTATGTCGTCCCCCTGAACGCCCCCAAAGGGAGAAAGAGAGAAACTCCCCCAAGAGATGAATCACTCCCCCTTCCTCATCGGCAGGTCTTCCAGGAAGCTTGCTACCTCTGTGGAGAGGATTGCTCCAAGGAGAAGAGGTTTGTCTCTGCCAAGATTACCAATGGCAATGCCAAAACCACCATGCACTTTCCTTTCCTTGGCCTCCTCCCTTGCCCGCCCCGTGCCAAAGGTCCCAACAAGCACTGGGAAGTCCAAAGCTGCTGCAAGTGTTATGGGGTGCTGCAGGATCTGTGGGCCATGTATCGGGCTTCCCACAATGAGGAGTTCATCACTTCCGTACAGAGCTTCCTGGGAAGGTATCACCAAGTTTTTTCAGCAGAAGAGACCAGCCACAGCTCCAGGCATGTGAATTTGGCCAAAGCAGGCCTGGTGTCTGTCTGTTACATCTGCGGAAGTGAACTGGGAGCCGGCAAGGAGTTCCAACTTAGTGTCAACCCACCAGGCCGCTTCGGTGAGAAAGAACCTTTCTTCCCCTTCCTCACGGTATATCCTCCAGCTCCTCAGGCGAAGCCTGCAGATTCCACGGGAATAGTGGCCACGTGTGTGCTCTGCTATCATGATCTCTTGGGACAGTGGCTGCAGTATGAAAGCAGCAGTTCCCACCATCCCAGCAGTCCCTGGTCAAGGCAATACAAAGTGGAGACATTTGTCTGCTACTTCTGCAGGCAAGAGAAGAAACGGTGCCTTGGATTAAAAGCAGTGCAAGTTGCCAGGCTGCCTGTCTTTCTGGGCTCTTTACAGGTGCCCAGTAGCTTATTGGTGGATGATGGTAAGCAACTGACTATTGGAGCATGTGCTGAGTGTGCAGTACTGGTGCTTGCTGGCAAAACGACAGGGCCTCGAGATCTTTTTGCTGCACCCGCAATGGCACCGGTTTCCTTTCAAAAGGTAAGGCTCTTGGTCAACCTTTCAGTGGCATCGGAATTGGCTCTTGTTGCTCTTGGGGAATGGAACCTTTGGCAGGAGGCAAGCACCAAGCTGGGTGCTTTCTAGCAAACCAGCCGTCTCAGAGTCGTTGACCTCACAGCTTTAAAAACAAAACAAAACCATGGATCTGTGTCAAGGTATGCAGCAGGGATGAGAGCATTTCTGGTGTTTAAAATCAAACACTGCCTTGTGGAAAGCAGTCTCACAGGCAGGTGGCTCATGCAAGACCAGAAGCTGACAAGAGTTTTCTAACATTGGTGCTGTTCCACTCCTGTTACTAAATCCTTTCAGGGATTAGCTAGCCGCCTGTTGGCTTTTGAGAGTTGAGAAAACATGGCTTTCTAGCTGTAAGCCATAGTACTTTCTTCTCCTGAGGTGGTATTGGATAATGGGCAGATCAGGTTTTCCTTGGGCTCATAGCACAAATTCATGTATCTGTGTTAGTTTGATGTAGCTGCTGGAGAAGCCCCCAGAGTAAAGCCGCAGTAATCTGTGGCTGCATAATACAGCATTTCAGGCCACAGTGAATTTCTTGGTGTTGATGCACAGGACCCTGTTCCAGAGCACAGGCAGAGAGCACTTCCATACCATGTTTTCTGTCCTTACCAAAAAGTCCAACAAGTAAATAGACAAAAGTTATTGGCTGCAAAGCCTTCCCACTCTCCACCCTGAGGCTATTTGACTCAGATTTAAAGACAAGTGCCAATCATTCCCTTTTTCCTAGTTCTGCCTTTAATAATCCAGGTCAAGTCACTTCCATCTTATGGCCCTCTCTCCACCCTGAGGCTGTTTGACTCAGATTTAAAGACATACAAGTGCCAATCATTCCCTTTTCCCTAGTTCTGTCTTTAGTAATCCAGGTCAAGTCACTTCCATCTTATGGTGACCCTAATAGGGGTTTTGAGATATGGGAGATGTTCAAGAAGGAATTTTGCCATTACCTTCTCCTAGTGAGCTTCCAGGACTGAGTGGAGATTTGAACCCAGGTCTTCTAAACCCCTAGTCTGTCCATCGTACCACTCTGGACCTATTGTAATTTGTACCTTAAATGGAAAACGAAACAGAGAGTTTGTGTGTATATATCATATCAGCATAGTCATCCAAATGCAAGAACTTGGGCCAGGAGTGTTTGGTGGGCAGCTTATAATACTTCTAAACATTTATATAGGTGGTAGCAGTTTAGAGTTATCTAGTTGCTTGGACGTACATGTTAGTAATGCAGCTCCAGTTTTTGTGCATGGACTAGTGGTGGTTTGACAGTGTATTCTTGAGTCTTAAGGGTTGGGGCCCTAATCTCTGTCAATTAGCAAAATGCAGAAGGAGTGTAAGTGACAGTGGTTAGGATTCTAAAGAAGCCTTGGAGCAGCCAGAGTGTATATTTGTTTGCTTGTTTTCTTTTGTTTTGCTTTGCTTTGTTTTGCTTTTAATTGAGCAGTGTCTGTTTGCTAGTTTGCTGGCTGAAGCATTCTTTATGCTTCAGATTTCACTGTTAGGTTTTTCTTTATTTTTTTAATTGTAAAATGTTGTATATACTGGTCTCAAGTCCTTGTGGATCAAAGGTGACTGATACAGTCTAAAAAGAAGCAGATGAAGTAGTTTGCAGGCCTTTAGAAATGAACACACAGGCTGAATGCGTTGGTACAGGAGCATGTGGAAAACCAGCAGTATGTAAACATCCTCTTCTCTGAATAAAGTAGGGGACAAGGGGTATGCTTTTGCACTCTTAAGCTACAGTTGCTTCATGTGCCCTACAAGTTTGACAGAGCCAATATGGTATAGCAGTTAAACTGTAGGACCACAGCTTGGGAGATTTCGGTTCAAGTTCCCATTGAACCATTAAACTATCCAGATGATTTCTGCACTGTTGGTTCTTTCTTTCAGAATGTACCTAACCTGCAGAGTTGTTGTGAAGGTACTGTACATGGGGAAGAGGAGTGCAATACACACTGCCTTGAACTCATTGGGGAAGAGATGAAATGTAAATGTGATTAATAAAGTTTCTTGTTTTTGTGTGTGATGATGGTCCCTGAACACTCTTTATATGGTTTAATTGGCGGCTACATGCCCCTTCCCCTGGCTGTTTGTACAGTCCTGCTGGATTCTTTCTTTTGCTGCCACTGCTGGGTCTGTCACCCGATTTGCAGTAAGGAATTTGGAAATGCATGCCTTGTTTCCCAGCAGAATCTTACTATTTGTGTACCATTATTTCCAGGATTGGCAGTGAGTTGGGCGGCAAGTTTCAGCAACAGTGTGTTCATAACATGAACAGGGTGCTTCAAAGAGAGGCTCTTTTAAAAGTATGTCTGTTATGAGGGATTCCAGAAAGGAATAATGTGCATCACACTTTCTATTCCTATACATTCAGAGAAGTGTGCAAAGGGGGCCATGCAACAAGTGAGGTGAAGCAGGTCTAACTCTGGTCAATGTCTAGATGAGACTATAACTGTCAATCTCACATCAATCACCTTGAGTTCCATCACTGGGAAGAAGCACCATCTGAGTGTTGTAAAATCAGTTGTGTTGTTTGGAGAGAGAGCTGGGAGTTCATGTTAGTTCCAAGATGCCAGAAAGAAAGAAAGAGACAGAGAGAGAAAGAGAGAGAAAAGGCAAATCATCAATGACAACTTGGGTAGAGTTTAGGAGAAATTATTCTCTGGACCACAAGTCCCAGCATGCCCAGCCAGCTGCACAATGGCTATAGTGTTTGGAGATTCCTGGAATTGTCCCCAAAAGTTACTTTTCAAAACTCTGAACTTTGGAATATGTAAAACTGATATTTGCCGTAGTTTTGCAACTAATTTATTTTTTAATAAGACAGGTCCAGTACCATTGCTTCAGCAACAATAGAATCTGTTTTCATATACCAGTTCTGTTTAAGTCTCTTTTTTACATGTTGTTTCCCATGGCCATTTAGGCAACTCACAAAGAAGCCCAGCTGATGCTTTTGTAGCCTGGTTTCTCAAGACAGCCCTAACAAGCATGCGCCTCTTAGACAGAAGTTCCTGTTCTGCCAGCAAATTAAAAAAAGGGAAGCCCCTCAGATGATTTCAGGAGGTGTTTCCCACCTGATTTGCCTCTTTCCCTCTCTGTAGGGATGTGCCCTTGTAATCTGCTAGTCAGCTGTGCAAGAGGAGAGGAGAATGCCTGGGATTTTCATGCTCCTGTGAATTGTGAGGGTTTACAGACGGCTGTTTGCTTTTCATCTGAGCCTCTATCCCCTTGGCTAGGAGGGACAGCTGCTGTTAATAAACTCATGTCGGGGCCTTCACAGAAGGACATTGCAGTACTGTAATAAAATGTGATCTAATCTTTGAGCTGTCTTCATAACCCTGGGCTTGCCATTTGAGTCAGAACTGTTGTACAGAGGCTGTTGTGGTACATTCAGTCCTGGCAGGAAGATAGGCTGGTTGGGGACACAGCTCTCCAAATCCTTGTGTTTGTCCAAGGCTAAGAATTCTTTTCGAATGTGCATATCCACTATTTGGCTTAGTTCTGGAGAACTTTGCAGCCCCAAACTTTGGGCCTCCTAATTCAAGTCACTATGAGTAAAATCCAGTAGCCAACTGCCTCTGCTTTGCCTTCACTGGTCTTTTAAAGAATTGTTGGCTGTGATCTGAGATTGCTGGTAGATGCAACAATTGAAAGTATTCTCTCTGTAGAAGCTTAGGAGTTCTCTGTGTCTCTGGACCAGCAATGGAGAACATGTGGCTCTCCAGTGCTGAGCAGCCATTCCCATCATCTCTCACCATTGGCTCTGCTCGCTACAGCTGATCTTTCCAAGATTTTCATTAACAAGGACTGACCATTGGGGTTTGTGTGTGCAGTTGGGTTGCCTCATGGGAATATTCCTCTGGCAAAGCCACTTTGCCTGATAGGTTCCCCCCCCCAGCCCCCGTGAAGGACAGATGTACTATGTAGAGCAGTGGTGTCGAACTGTGGCCATCCAGATGTTCTTGGCCTTCAACTCCCAGAAATCCTGGCCAGCAGAGGTGGTGGTGAAGGCTTCTGGGAGTTGAAGTCCAAGAACATCTGGAGGGCCACAGTTTGACACCACTGATGTAGAGTCATAAAGGTTATGCTTCTAGCCAGTGGATTTTAAAAAGAGTAGCTGTATAAATAACATATTGAAGCTGTGGTAGTGCCTTGTACCCCCCTGACTCTTTCCAGTATTCCAGAGGAAATAGTGATAAAAACTTTAATTTCAAACTTCCAGACCTATAGCAATAGAGATGTGTCCACCAGCTGCAATCAATGGGGGCATTGTTCTTTTGTTGTACTTCGTAGTGAAAATGTTATTTTATCCATTTTTAAATGTTATGCATTTTTACAAGGCTCAGTTGTAAACTCCAAAAACATTAAGAGAGATTTTTTCGGGTGGGAAGAGACACAAACATGTGAAGTAGAACTGTGAACCATCCTGATCACAAGATTATTGTTCAAGTGGAAAAGATGTGCCCTGAATCCATGCCTAAAGGAAGATGAATTGCATAATCTTTGTGGGAAGATTGTTCTATAGAGTTGATGCCAGTGAGGCTGGCTGGAAAGGATATTGTTTTGTTGGGACAAGGAACATGTACGAGCAATATCCGATGAAATGGCTGGAGACAGTGTGGAAGAGACGGTCTTTTAATACTGCCTGTGTTTCCTCTTCTCTTCATTGGTTGACTCTGAAGAATAAGGATGAACAGAAGGTAGTTTGGGGTCTATTGTTAGATGTACAGTATGAATGATTCGGAGTAGATCACACACACATGAATTATTTGATCACATTCACAGAGTAGTACGGCTCTTTGCATCCAAGTTGCTTAACAGTAGCAGGAAATAAATGCTCCCCTCCATTAGAATGCTGAAGGGAGGAAAATCTGAGGAGCCAGGAGTGGTACGTGTGTAAGGATGCTTATTTCTGCTCCTTAAAAGAAATCACAAATCTCATGTGTTTCAGAAAGACCCCTTGTTCTTTA